ATACATAGGGGATCTAAAAGACTCCACTAAGAGGCTATTGGAACTCATTGAAAAGTTTGGTAAAGTAGCAGGACATAGAATCAATATACAAAAATCAATATATTTGTATACACAAATAATGCCATGGCTGAGAAAGAACTTCTAAGATCAATCCCATTCACAATAGTTTAAAAAAATCGAATATCTTGGAATAAATTTAACCAAGTATGTCAAAGTTCTCTATGATGAGAATTACAAAACATTAAAGAAAGAAATAGAAGATACCAAAAATATAGAAAAACATTCCATGTTCATGGATTGGAAGAATCAATATAATCAAAATGTCCATACTACTGAAAGCAATTTATAGATTCAATGCAATACCAATCAAAATACCATGGGCATTCTTCTAAGATGTAGAAAAAATGATGTTGAAATTCATATGGAAACACAGGAGACCCTGGATAGCTAAAGCCATCTTGTACAACAAAAACAAAGCCAAAAGCATCACAATATCTGATTTCAAGACATACTACAGGACAATCATAATCAAAACATCCTGGTATTGGTACAAAAATAGATGGATAGACCAATGGAACAGAATGGAAAAGCCAGAAGTTAATCCAGGCATCTACAACCAATTGATCTTTGACAAAGGCACTAAAACCAATCCCTGGCATAAGGACAGTATTTTCAAAAAATGGTTCTGGGAAAGCTATATTTCCAAATGCAGAAGTATGAAGCAAGACCCATACCTTACAACTTATACAAAAAGTGTCTCAAAATGGATTAGTGAACTAAATGTATGACCATATATATTCAAATTATTAGAGAACACTGGAGAAATCTTACAAGATATAGGCATAGGCAAAGAGTTCTTGGAAAAGACCCCAGAGGCACAGGCAATCAAAGCTAGCATTGAAAAATGAGATTACATAAAATTGAGAATCTTCTGCACTGCAAAAGAAACACTCAGCAAACTGAAGACGCAACTAACAAAATGAGAGACATTATTTGCAAACTAGACAGCTGAAAAAGGATTAATAACCAAAACATTTATAGAGAGATCATGAAACTCAACAGCAACAAAACAAACAACCCAGTGATGAAATGGGCAAAGGACTTAAAGAGACATTTTTCAAAAGAGGAAATCCAAATGGCCAACAGACATATGAAAAAATGCTCAGGATCACTAGCATCAGATAAATGCAAATCAAAACCAAAATGAGGTTTCACATCACCCCCGTTAAAATGGCTTTCATAGAAAAATCAACAAATAACAAACTGGTGAGGATGTAGAGGAAAAGGTACCATAATCCACTGTTGTTGGGAATGTAAACTGGTAAAGCCACTGTGGAACACAGTATGGAGATACCTCAGAAATCTGATATAGACCTACTATATGACCCAGCCATCCCACTCATGGGAAATTACCCAAGGAAATGAAATCAGCAAATAAAAGAGTTATCTGTACCTCCATGTTTATAGCAACTCAATTCACAATAGCTAAGACATAGAATCAATCCAAATGCCTGTCAACCAAAGACTGGATAAAGAAATTATGGAATATGTACACCATGGAATACTACACAGCATTAAAAAAATAATCTGGTCATTTGCAACAAAATGGATGAATCCGGAAAACATACTTAGAGAAACAAGCCAGTCCAAAAGGGACAATTACCATATGTTCTCCCTGACCCATGATAACTAATAGAGCACCTAAAAGGCTACCTATAGAAGTGAAACTTACATTTTTAGAAGCAATGACTTTTAACAGCCTTTGTCTTGATTGTTGAGAAATTTTTGTTTTTTCGTACTATTTGTTGAACTCTTTACTTATCCCAGAGTTAATCATGTGTATAATGTTAATTGAAATTAAACCTAGTATGAAATAAGGTGGGAATAAGAAAAGGAGGATGAAGAGTGGTGGGAATGTGCGTGGGAAGGGGGCACAGTAGGAAGAACCATCATGTTCCTAAAGTTGTAATTAGGAAGTGTGTGAAGTTTGTAACTGTAAAGCTGTGTAAGTCTGTATACATTCCTACAGACATGCTTCTAAGGATACAGTTTAAAAACTTGCCATGGCACCCCAAATCCTCTTAAGCTGGGGGGTACATTAGCATTTTAAGTGTTAAAGTGAGCGTAGGGATAAGATTAAGTGTTAAAATGATCATATAGATAGAATGGAGGCTATTCTTATGTCTCATAAGTTATCGTTATGTCTTAGTGATAACGAAAGATGCATCATTCTTGGATTATTCTTTAAAGTCAATTAAATTTCTCAAAAAAAAAAAAAAAGAATGCATGAAAGGAAATGAAATTAACTTTGAGATGCCAGGTTTGTCTGGACTGTTGAGAAACAATTTTTTTTTCATAAAATTTATTGAACTCTTTACTTAGTATAGAGATAAACTTCTGTGTGAAAAGTTAATTGACAATCTTAGTAAAAATCTTAGTAAAAAATAAGACTGGGAATAGGAGAAAGAAGAGAAAGAGGGATGGGATTGCGGGTGGGAGGGTGGGCACAATGCGAAGAATCACTATGTTCCTAAAGTTGAACTTACGAAATGCATGAAGTTTGTATTCCTTAAATAGAAGGTTTCTTTAAAAGTTGCTAGGCCAGCGCTGTGGCTCACTTGGCTAATCCTCTGCCTGTGGTGCTGGCACCCTGGATTCTAGTCCCAGTTGGGGTGCCGGGTTCTAGTCCCAGTTGCTTCTCTTCCAGTCCAGCTCTCTGCTGTGGCCCAGGAGGGCAGTGGAGGATGGCCCAAGTGCTTGGGGCCCTGCACCCGCACGGGAGACCGGGAGGAAGCACCCAGCTCCTGGCTTCGGATCGGCACAGTGACAGCTGTGGCGGCCATTAGGGGAGTAAAACTATGGAAGCAAGACCTTTCCCTCTGTCTCTCTCTCTCTCTCTGTCTCTGTCTCTCTCTCTCTCTCTCTCTCTCACTGTCTAACTCTGCCTGGAAAAAAAATAAATAAATAAAAATTTTAAAAAGTTGCTGTATACTGTTCACGATTTTCTGTCCATATCCTGCCTGAAATAACTATGACTGTTTATAAAGAAAATCTTTAATAAAGATGGATACAGCTTGAAAAAAAAATGTTGGGTAACTTAAATATACACAATAAAATAATAATAAAATCCGAACTCTGCCCCGTGGCTCATCAGATCTGGATCCCACCTATGTGTTCTCCCCTTACTGACTTTAATCACAATGGTGCCCTTTCTAATCCTCGATTTGTACCAAGCCCCTTTATAGCTCAAGAATTTCATGCTTGCAGATCATTCTACTTGGATTCTTCTCTCCTTACTCTTTATGTTGTGGTTCCTTTTTGTACTGTAAGCCTCAGCATAAATATCACCCCTCAAAATTGCCTTCTAGATGCTCCCATTAAATGAGCTGCTGTCTCTGCCCCTGGTCGTTCTTTCTCACATGATCCTGTTCATTCCCTTCATCATTCTTAGCATATAATGCACAACTTTTTATCGTTCATTTCCCCCTAGGAGAGTGCAATTTTTTATACTTCCACAGCATCATAAATGTTCATGAAATATTTGTAATGAATTAATAAATATGTCATTCTTTTGTATCACTTGCTAGAACATTTCAGGAATTTCTCTTTAAGAATTGCCATTAGAGCCGGCACCGCGGCTCACTAGGCTAATCCTCTGCCTGCCGCGCCAGCACCCCAGGTTCTAGTCCCAGTCAGGGCGCCGGATTCTGTCCTGGTTGCTTCTCTTCCAGTCCAGCTTGCTGCTGTGGCCCGGGAAAGGCAGTGGAGGATGGCCCAAGTGCTTGGGCCCTGCACCCGCCTGGGAGACCAGGAGAAGCACCTGGCTCCTGGCTTCGGATCAGCGCAGTGCACCGGCCGTGATGGCCATTAGGGGGTGAACCAATGGAAAAGGAAGACCTTTCTCTCTGTCTCTCTCTCTCTCACTGTCCACTCTGCCTGCCCCCCCCCCAAAAAAAGAATTGCCATTAGAGACAATTAAGTTTTCATGTATTCATGTAAGGAAAAATAAGTACTGTTTTATAATCTTAGACTATCATTCCTAGGGTTTGTAATTTGGTTACTTTTTGTCTAATTCTCTTTTCTTTTGTTATAGTAATACCACAGATTGGGTCATTTATAAATAGCATGGTTTTATTCAGCTCATGGCTCTGGACATCCAAGATCAGGGGGCTGTTTGTTGAGGGTCTTCTGACTAGTGGAGACCCCCTGTAGTGTCCTGCTGTGACACAGGGCATCAGAGGGTTAGATAGAGCAAGCTTGATGACTTAGGATTCTTTCTCTTCTCATAAAGTCATTAATAACATCATGGGGTCCCACTCTCACCACTTCATATAACCCAAATTATCCCCAAGAGGTCCAACTTCCAAATACCACTATCATATGACTTTGGGCATTAAGGAGCCCACATGCGATGTCCAGAGGATATATCCAAATCAAAACACTTTCGTTTAATGTCTTCAAATACTTTTGCTTCATCCTATCCTTTTCCTTTTCTTAACTTAGTATAGTACTGACTCACACTTGCATTGTCACACTAGAAGTGGCAGACGATTTCCGAACCAAGCAACCACCATGGAAAAACCCGGAGCCACAGAGGTGCTCACACTGAGGAAGACCCTTGGCCAGTTCCCCATCTGTGTGGTCTTGACATTTTCACCCCAAGCTTGATTAAATTTGAGTATGTCTTATTTTGTGCCTCACTGTAACCTTCCCTGGTGCACGTCACAGCATCCATTGCATTTCCTTGCTCCAACAAGTTTTCATGTCTTTGCTACATTTGAAGTCTGGTCAAAGACAGGGCAGCAAATCGTTCCTGATGTCATTTACTCACATTTATCTGCTATTATATGTATGACATGCATGTTATGAGTGCTTCATGTTAATTAATTCTTGACATTAATTGGCAAAAGTTAGTATTAATTGCCAGAAGTTGAGTTATCTTTGGGACAAATTCCTTTTTACACCCATGCATAATCACACAGATTAAGACCCCTTGCTCATCACCTGTGCTGAGGCTGCAGGCCGTAGAGTGCATGATTGAATCGTGAGTTCAGGATCTTTTCTAGGTGGTTATTTGTTGAGGCGGTAGTTATTATCTTCTTGAGGAAAGTATTGAACCGAGTGAAAAGTAAACTATCCATGGGATACCCATTATCCCAAACACGATGTAAGATCCATGATCCTCGCCTAGTACTGAGAAATACCTGAGGGAAACAGAGTAGTATTATTTTATTCATTAACCAGTTAAGAATGTTGGCTGTTGAGGGAGTGAAATACTTTGCATTGATCACCATGCTGTACTTTGACAAAGCTGCCTACTGTTTTTAGAAAAATGGCTGCATCTATGATATCACATTTATTAATGAAAAATAAAAGGTTTCACTCTTCAGTCTGTATGCTTCTGAATAACTTTTTAAAAAATACTAAATATGAATATGGCTGTACAACGAAGGTTTGAATTTAGAAGTGAATTTAACTATTATATAATCAATATGAATTAATAACTATTAATAATTAATATGAATTAACTATCATATATTATTTACTTCAAAGTAAAAGCATATATTAAAAACGTTAATCAAACTGTTCAGGACTATGATGTCTTGCTTAACTGAATGCAACCAATATTACTTTTCAAATAATTAAATAATATATTTGGACACTTTTCTGCATTCTGATGCAATTTGGTAATACACTGATTTGTTTGATTATTGGTAGTTTTGCAATCTTCAGGTGATCACGTTGAATCTCAGTTTTTATGTGTCAAATCTGGGAAGTAAAACATAGATTACATGGGTGCTAGTGACCAGGAATTTACCCCTGTAAGTACTTATTAAAATTTAAAAACTAAATCCACTGTAAGTGATTTAGTTATAATTTCTGCTAAAAGTTGATGATAAATGATAAATAAAGTAACTAAACACAAGGAGAATATCTGAAGATCTAGTAGATTGGATTTTCCATCAATTAGGTCCTCATTAAATGTGATCAGGAAACAGACCTGTTTGGCTACATGACTCAGCTCCACGGCAATATCCACTCCAGAATTCCCAATGCCAACCACAATGATTCTCTTTTCTGAAAACTCCTCAGGACTTTTGTATTCCCGACTGTGAAAATAATAGCCTTTAAATTTTTCAATGCCTGTGTTGGAAGAAGAGAAATTCTTACTGGAGGTACTTTTTTGGTCTGATGTTGTGACTCAGTGAGTTAAGCCTCTACTTGTGATGCCAGCATCCCAGATGGGAGCCAGTTTGAGTCTTGGCTGCTCCACTTCCAATCCATCTCTCTGCTAACGCACCTGGGAAAGCAGCAGAGGACAGCCCATGTGCTTGGGTCACAGCCACTGATGTGGAAGACCTGGATGGAGTTCCAGGCTCCTGGCATCTGCTTGATGCAGCCCCAGCTGTTGCTGCCATGGGGAGTGAACCAGTAGAACAAAGATTCTCTTGCTCCTTCTCTCTCTCTCCCTTTCTCTATGGCTGCAACTCTGACTTTTAAGTATATAAATAAAGAAGTCTTAAAAAAGAAGTATTTTTCACCAGATGGACTATACATAGAGAATAATCTGAAAGACCATGCCTTTGAATTTGGGTCAGTGAGTTGAATATCAACCTCTGTCCTCTGTTTTTTTTTTTTTTTTTTTTGACAGGCAGAGTGGACAGTGAGAGAGAGAAACAGAGAGATCCGAAGGCAGGAGCCAGGTGCTTCTCCTGGTCTCCCATGGGGTGCAGGGCCCAAGGACCTGGGCCATCCTCCACTGCACTCCCTGACCACAGCAGAGAGCTGGCCTGGAAGAGGGGCAACCGGGACAGAATCCGGCGCCCCGACCGGGACTAGAACCCGGTGTGCCGGCGCCGCAAGGCGGAGGATTAGCCTAGCGAGCCGCGGCACCGGCCTTCAACCTCTGCTCTAAAACTACCCTTGAAGCTCAGGGAAAGAGGATATAAACTCAGAATTAGCCACCTTGGATTCCAGACATAGACTAGTAACCTTATAAAGTATTTAGTGAATGATATATCTGTCTGCTTTGGACCTACTCAAAATCGAAATTTCTCAACAATGTTATTCTGATTTAATTTTGTTCATAATCACATTGTCCTGTATAATTTGAAGCAATATAAGAAGCAGGAAACTGGTTTCTGTTTTGTTTTGTTTCTCTATTCTCTAACAAGATTATAAGACCTTTCTTTGTCATTTTGACATCTCTCTGCCTTCCTAGTACCTAAAGTCCCCGTGCTGTCCCTGGCTGTGCTGAGGACTTCATAAGAGACCTCAATCTGTGTCTGAAATCCTCCAACATTGTTGCATTCTGTACAAGTTTATGTCTTCCTCCCTGAAATCTATCCAAGTAAACATATCCCATGGGGCTCTCTATAGGGAATGTCTCTCAGCCAGGAAGCAAATCAAAAAGAAGCTGATAAGTAAATAAGTATATAATGGTTATTAATGGAATCCATAGATTATATGATAATTAATATAATGATTTTCAGTATACATTGCATTTTAACATTCAGAAAAAGACATTTTTGTTTTACAAAAGATTGTGTTGGTGTGTAAACATAACACGGCTACTTAGCTGAATAACCGAAATCCAAGTATAAATCTCTTGATTTCCATCCAGGACCCTTCTATTTTTGGTTGGCCTCAGTCTCAAGGAGTGTCTCCTGATGGCTTGTTAGGCGCCATGGGAAGGCTCTAAGATTAGGCCACTAAAGCAACTAAGGGAAATGGAGAGCAAAGGCAGCAGATGTAAGGGGACAGGACTTGGTTAGTTGGGGAGGATGTTTAAAGTAATAGTCTTCTCTGAGATGGAGAATTGAAAGGGAGCAGTAAGTTTCTTGCTTCTTGTGTTATCATTTGTCCCTTATTTTATTAATTTCATTTTCTATTGGAGAAAGTGAGATTAAATGAATGAACATAAAACTAAAATGAATATGGGCTAATTTTTGTTACATCTTAAAGACTAGATGAAACTACTGTAAATAAAAAACAGAAGTTGTAGGGACGGCTCTGTGGTGTAGCAGGTAAAGCTGTCGCTTGCAGCACTGGCATCCATTGAGGACCTTGGTTCAAGTCCCTGCTGCTTCACTTCAATCCAGCTCCCTGATAATGTGTCTGGGAAAGCCATGAAAGATGGCGGAAATCCTTGGCAGACCTGAATGAATCTCCTGGTTCCTGGTTTCAGCCTGGCCCCACCCAAACTGTTGTAGCCATTTGCACATGAATTTTATGACTAAAGTTAGTAAAATTTCTCTGATAACTCTCAAAAGTAAAAAACTAACTGCTCTATATTTTGTTAACAAATAGGGAAATTTCACTAACTCTAGTCATAAAATTCACGTGCAAGGACGGCGCCCCGGTTCACTAGGCTAATCCTCCGCCTGCGGCGCTGGCACACCGGGTTCTAGTCCTGGTCAGGGCACCGGATTCTGTCCCGGTTGCCCCTCTTCCAGGCCAGCTCTCTGCTGTGGCCAGGGAGTGCAGTGGAGGATGGCCCAAGTACTTGGGCCCTGCACCCCATGGGAGACCAGGAGAAGCACCTGGCTCCTGCCATCAGATCAGCGCAGTGCGCAGGTCGCAGCGCGTCGGCCGTGGCAGCCGTTGGAGGGTGAACCAACCGCAAAAAAGGAAGACTTTTCTCTCTGTCTCTCTCTCTCACTGTCCACTCTGCCTGTCAAAAAAAAAAAATCATGTGCAATTATTTTTCCGTATAAATTATTTGGAATGTACATTGGCAGCAAAGAGAGTCTTAGTGACATACCTGGGAAGGACTGAAGTGGTAAGTAAGGGTCCGTGTGATGCCCACTGCACACCAAGATCCCATCAAAGACCAGAGTCTCCTGTTTCCCATCACTCTCCACAATAACATCCCATTGTCCACTGAAAGAAAAATCTGGATGCTTTCTAACACTCCTCACTTCGGTCTGAAATCAAGGGCACAAGCATAGATGATACTGTATCATAATCCTCATGTTTGCACTCTCCCTCCAATCCCATAAATGTGCATAACACCACACATCTGAAGTAGTCACATTCATTCAATTCCCATCCCTGGTTACCTTCAGAGTGATTTTTGTGTGGGTAAAATTTTAGAATATTACGGATATTCATCAAAAATGTAGTTTTCCATAGTAATAGAAAAGTTGAAACTTAACTGTGAAATAAAAAAACTAATTGAAATACTATTTCCTTCCAAGAAGACTTCTAAAATATAGTAGTCTTTGTATTTTTCATATTTTAGCCCAGACTTATTCATTTTTGGCAGATTTGGCTTTCAAGTTTCAGGGAAGAATTAATGCTGTATCATAATTACAGAGATGAATTGTGATTGTATGAGTTGGGAGTGGGGGTGGTAGATAGAATATGAGGACAACATGGATCTGAAAAATTCATTCTTGTGTTGTTTATATGATTTAGTTTTTGTTGTACAAGCAAGGTAATTTGGTTCAATTATTATTGCCATTCTTCAAAGTCATTAAACATTTTGAATTTAAGGCTAAGAGAGAGAGCTCTTCCCTTATCACACCAAAATATTATCAGTATAGGTTCTGCTGAGCAAAATTCTACAACCCCACATTCAAGTGAAGATTTTAAAACTTCAATTTGCTATAAGCAATTATTTTCTAGGGTAGACACTCCCTAATGATGTTTTTCTCTGATCATAGGAAGGATGCCAAATATAACTTCCATGGATGCACAGGTGAGTGTGTTTGCACACATGCCCTTATAAGCACACTTACTATGCAATAATTCATTTAGTTTTTACCTTAAAACGGATGTAGCTCAAGAGGTCAAAGTGTTTGGCATACATCTTAAAGTAGTCCATGACTTTGGAGTTGTGCATGTAGTTGGGAAAATGATCAGGTATAGGGAAGTCACTGAAGCACATCATCTCCTTGGAAGTATTGATGGTCACAGATTTGTAGATGCTAGGCATTTTCTCTGAAGTATTTCTCTATAGAAGAAAGTCTTTCTTAATAAAATAAACCTTGCATTAACAAGAGAATCAAAGTACAAACACTTCAGTGAAGAAAAATCATCTCAGGTATCATACACCACTATATTTCCTTTTATTTTCTTCATGAATATTTTCTACTTCACTCCCCTCTCTGCTAAGCAAAAAAGTTACACTGAATAAACAGTAAGATTTATATCTGACTTCTCAAAAGAAATTATGAGAGCAGAAACAATGGAATGATATATAAAATTTGTTGAAAGAACAGGTTACTAAAATTTGTTAAAGATTTACTTATTTGTTTGAAAGTCAAAGTTACAGAGAGAGGGACAGACAGCCAGAGAGAGATATCATTCATGTTCTGGTTCACTTTCTAGATGGCCACAAAGACCAGTACTGGGCTAGGCTGAATCCAAGGGACAGGAGCTTCTTCTGGATCTTTCACATGGGTGTTGGGGGCCAAGTACTTGGTCCATCTTCTGCTGCTTTTCCCAGGCTATTAGCAGGGAGCTGGATCAGAGGTGGAGCAGCCAGGACACGAACCGGCTCCCACATGGGATGTTGGCATTGTGTGTAATGACTTTACCCACTACACCACCATGCCAGCCCCTAGAATAAGAACTCTGTACCTAGGAAAAGTGTACTTCAATTTCTAATTCTGTTAGAATTCCATGTCCAGTAAAAGTATCCTTAAAAAACCAAAGTGAAATTGACACATATTAAAATAGCCAAAAGCAGAGAGAATTAGTTGTTAGCAATGCAATGCTATGAGAACTGTGAAGAAAACGTCATCAAGTTGAGTAGGAATGAATAAATCTGGAAGCATGAAAATGCAAGATGTAATGAAAACAAAAAATCATAAATATGTGGGTAAGAACTAAAAATGCTGACTGATTAAAAACATAATAATATTAATATCTTGTGGGATTTAGAACATGCTCAAGAATTAAGATACACGCAACACAAGGGTGGGAAGGGGAAAGTGGAATCAAGCTGTAGCAAGACCCTTGCTTCCTTAGTCAAGGATGTGTATTGAAATTTTTAAGATATAATATTAATGTAAGAATAAATATCTAAATAATAAATCAAGCAGCAGCTTTACTTGCTATGTCACAATGCCAGCCACTTATGTTCTTAAAATTGTATCTACAAATCACATCAAAACTGTTAAAAACTGGCCGGCGCCGCGGCTCACTAGGCTAATCCTCCACCTAGCAGCGCCGGCACACCGGGTTCTAGTCCCGGTCGGGGTACCGGGTTCTGTCCCGGTTGCCCCTCTTCCAGGCCAGCTCTCTGCTGTGGCCCGGGAGTGCAGTGGAGGATAGCCCAAGTACTTGGGCCTTGCACCCCATGGGAGACCAGGAGAAGCACCTGGCTCCTGCCTTCAGATCAGCGTGGTGCGCTGGCTGCAGCGCGCCGGCCACGGCGGCCGTTGGAGGGTGAACCAACGGCAAAGGAAGACCTTTCTGTCTCTCTCTCTCACTGTCCACTCTGCCTGTTAAAAAAAACTGTTAAAAACTAATTAAAATTTAAAACAAAAATTTTTTAAAAAATCTGCATAACTCCCTCCCCAAAAAAGAGACCAAAAATGCCAAACAAAAGTCTTCTTTATGCTATTTTCAAGAGATAAAATTAGACTAAAAGATGGATATCTGATGAGATATATTAATCAAAAGGCAATAAAAGGGAAATATTAATATCAGACAATCAGATAACATGGCAGAGAGGGAGAGATCACAATGTTATAAAGGTTAGTACTACAAGAATTTATAAAAATTCAAAAGTGCTTAGTAACATAACTTCAAAATACATAAAGTGAAAATTAACAGAATTAAAAAGAGAAATAGATAAGCTCACATTCACAGCTGGAGAACTTATCACTAAGTAACTAACAGAACAGTGGACCAGAAATTGCTAAGGTTATGGGGAATTGAAGAACATAATTAAGCAACTTGGCTTAATTGGTATATACAGACAAATAAACCCTATAGCTTTAGACTACAAGTTATTTTGAATTACATGTGATATACTTTCCAATATAGGCCCTATCCTGGCCACTGAACAATCTAAGTTTCAAAGGATTAAAATCAGGTTATATTCTGCAACAACAGAATAACATTAAATTAGAAAATAACAAGAGAAAGAGAACCAGGAGCCTCTTTCATAATGGTTAGAAATTAAGCAACATGGCCGGCGCCGCGGCTTACTGGGCTAATCCTCCGCCTTGCGGCGCCGGCACACCAGGTTCTAGTCCCGGTCGGGGCGCCGGATTCTTTCCCGGTTGCCCCTCTTTCAGCCCAGCTCTCTGCTGTGGCCAGAAAGTGCAGTGGAGGATGGCCCAAGTCCTTGGGCCCTGCATCCCATGGGAGACCAGGAGAAGCACCTGGCTCCTGCCTTCGGATCAGTGCGATGTGCCGGCCGCGCGGCGGCCATTGGAGGGTGAACCAACGGCAAAGGAAAACCTTTCTCTCTGTCTCTCTCTCTCACTGTCCACTCTGCCTGTCAAATAAATAAATAAATAAATAAAAATAAAAAATATTTTTTTTAAAAAAGATTTATTTATTTTTATTTGAAAGTCAGTTACACAGAGAGATGAGAGGCAGAGAGAAAGAGAGAGAGAGAGAGAAAGAGAGAGAGAGAGAGGTCTTCCATCCGATAGTTCACTCCCCAACTGGCCACAACAGCCAGAGCTGTGCCTATCCGAAGCCAGGAGCCAGGAGCTTCTTCCTGGTCTCCCACAGGGGTGCAGGGGCCCAAGGACCTGGGCCATCTTTTACTGCTTTCCTAGGCCATAGCAGAGAGCTGGATCGGAAGTGGAGCAGCCGTGTCTCGAACTGGCGCCCATATGGATGCTGGCGCTTCAGGCCAGGGCGTTAACCCACTGCACCACAACACCAGGCCCTATTTTTCTTTTTTTTTTTATTTAATTAATCATTTTTACATAGATACAACTGTAGTAATATAGAGGTTCTTTTCCCCACACCCCCCTCCCTGCTCCTATCCCACCTCCTATTCCCTCTCCCATCTCCTTCTTCATTATGGATCATTTTAGTATGACTTTATATACAGAGGACCAACTCTATGCTAATCTTGGATTTCAACAATTTTCCCCCACACCCACACACAACATATAGAATACAGTTTGGGGATAGAATTTGCAGTCGATTCTCATATTATGGTTCAATAGGGACAGAGGTCCTACCTGGGGAACAAGTGCACAGTGACTACTGTTGTTTCTTTAACAATTAACACTCTTTTTATGACGTCAGTGATCATCTGAGGCTTTTGTCATGGGCTACCAAGGCTATGGAAGCCTTTTGTGACCATAGACTCCGTTGGTATTTGGACATGGCCATAAGCAAAGTGAAGAGAAGAGTGTCTCCTTCTTTGAAGACCCTTTCTTTCCTCTGAGGTCTCACAGAGATCCTCCGTGTAGGTGTTTTGTTTTGTTTTGGTCATGGAGTCTTTTCTTTCCAAGGCATTTTTCAAAAGAGGAAATTCAAATGGACAAAAGACTCATGAAAAAATGCTCAGGATCACTAACCATCAGGGTAATGCAAATCAAAACCACAATGAGGTTTCACCTCGCCCAAGCTGCAATGTAGAAATAAAAAACCAATAAATGCTGGCAAGGATGTAGGGGAAAAGATTTCCTAATCTACTGTTTTGGGGAATGTAAACTGGTGCAGCCATTGTGGAAGACAGTATGGGGATTCCTCAGAAATATGAAAAAGAGTTCTACGAAATGACCCAGCCATCCCACTCCTGGGAATTTACCCAAACAAAATGAAATCAATAGATGAAAGAGTTGTCTATATACCCCCATGTTCATTACAGCTCAATTCACAATAGCTAAGATATGGAATAAACCCAGTGTCCTTCATGGATAAAGAAATTGTTATATATACACTATGGAATTCTACTACTCATCAGTAAAAATAAAAGTTAAATTCTGTCTTTTGCAACAAAATGAATGAAATTGGAAACCATTATACTTAATGAAATAAGCTAATCTCAAAAAGGACCATTGTTTTTCCTGATCTGTGGTAACTAATAGAGGACTTTAAAAGTAATATATAGCAGCAGACTCATAGAATGGCAGATGTCCTAAACAGCACTCTGGCCTTGGAATCAGCCCTTAAGGCATTCGGATCCAGCTGAAAAGCCCATGAGAGTATTTCAGGTATGGAAAGCAAAGACACAGTGGCAAAAAAAAAAAAAAAAAAAAAAAAAAAAATCCCAGTGGAAAGAACAGGTCTTCAAAGAAGGAGGTACTTTTCTCTGAAGGGGGGAGGAGAGAACTTCCACTTGGACTATGACCTTGTCTTAATATGATCAGAGTTGGTGAACTCAAAGGCTTCCATAGCCTTGGCAACTCATGACAAGAGCCTAGGGTGATTACTGAGGCCATAAACAAGAGTGTCAATTTGTTAAGTCAACAACAGGAGTCACTGTGCACTTACGCCTCATGTAGGATCTCTGTCCTTAATGTGCTGTACATTGTGATTTAATGCTATAACTAGTACTCAAACAGTATTTTACACTCTGTATTTCTGTGTGGGTGCAAACTGTTGAAAGCTTTACTTAATATATGCTAAATTGATCTTCTGTATACAATGAGAATTGAAAATGAATCTTGATGTGAATGGAAGGGGAGAGGGAGCGGGTGAGGGGAAGGTTGCGGGTGGGAGGGAAGTTATGGGGGGGAAAAGCCACTGTAATCCATAAGCTGTACTTTGGAAATTTATATTCATTAAATAAAAGTTAAAAAAAGTAAACATCAGAATAAGAAAAAATAAAGGAAGTGTTTATTGTTAAAAAAATAAAAGTAATGTATCTGAGTGAAATTGACATTTTGAGATTCGATGATCATTTACAGCCCTTGTCTCTACTGTTAAGGAACAGTGTTTTTTTCTTCACATTATTTGTTGAACTTAGTGTGGGGTTAACCTTATGGGTATAAAGTAAACAGAAAATAGATCTTTGTAAAAATTAAGAGTAGAACTAGGAGAGGGAGGAGGAGGAAGGGTTGGAGCATGGGTGGGAATGAGGGTAGGGTGGGAAGTATCACTATGTTCCCAAATCTGTATATATGAAATTAATAAAATTTGTGTATCTTAAATAAAATCTGAAAAAACCTAAAATATGTATTATGGAAAAAATTTTAAAAATAAACCGAGTGACAGATAAAAAGTTTAAAAAACACAAATACTTTCTGCATCATGTGAATTTCAAAATGTATATTGGTGATACAAAATACCTCCTAGCAGATATTAGCAAAACCTCTGTCTATGTGTGACTGTGTTTTATGTACTTGAGCATGAACATGTGTAATCAAGTGGCATCAAAATTGACAGATGGTTTTGAAGCCCTTTACCAATAGAGGGTTTACTTCTGCTGATCAGTACTCTGAAAAATGAAAAAGACCCACCAATGTTGCTGGCTCAAAGATGAGGAAGGCAACAAGAAGCTGAGTGGCTCTCAGCAGGCAAGCAGCATGGGAATGAGGAAACTCGGTCCTAGCACCACGAGACCCTGACTCTACCAAAGACAAGAGTGCTCATGAAAGCAGTCTTGGCTGACGCCGTGGCTCACTAGGCTAATCCTCCACCTTGCAGTGCCGGCACACCGGGTTCTAGTCCCGGTCGGGGCGCCGGATTCTTTCCCGGTTGCCCCTCTTCCAGGCCAACTCTCTGCTGTGGTCCGGGAGTGCAGTGGAGGATGGCCCAAGTGCTTGGGCCCTGCACCCCATGGGAAACCAGTATAAGTACCTGGCTCCTGCCTTTGGATCAGTGCGATACGCAGGCCACAGCACCCTGGCCACGGCAGCCATTGGAGGGTGAACCAACGGCAAAAGGAAGACCTTTCTCTCTGTCTCTCTCTCTCACTGTCCACTCTGCCTGACAAAAAAAAAAAAAAAAAAAAAGTCTTCCTTCTGTTGGTTCACTCCCAAATGGCTGCCACGGCTGGAGCTACGCCAATCCGAAGCCAGAAGCCAGGTGCTTCTTCCTGGTTGCCCATGTGGGTCAGGGCCCAAGCACTTGGACCATCCTCCACTGCCCTCCTGGGCCACAGCAGAGAGCTGGACTGGAAGAGAAGCAACTGGTACTAGAACCCAGCACCCATATGGGATGCTGGCGCCGCAGGCGGAGGTTTAGCCAAGTGAGCCACGGCGCCAGCCCCATCATCTTTTTCTAATATTTCTGATGGTTGCATACAATTTCAGCTACCTTGAAAAAATCCTGTAAATGTCATGCCTAAAACTGAAATTAACCTACACTGACATATTTTTTCATCAGTAATGCAAGCAAGATTAAGGTCATTCAAAGCTTCTTAAAACATAATGTGCTTAGAGTTAACTATAGGATCATTAAGCAAACTGAAAAATAGATCTTTATAAAAATTAAGAGTGGGAATGTGAGAGGGAGGAGGAGGAGGAAGGGTTGGAGCACGTCAGGAGGGAGGGTAAATGGAGAAGAGTCACTATGTTTCTAAATCTGTATATATGAAATACATGAAATTTGTATAACTTAAATAAAATTAAAAATAAATAAATAAAATCATAATGTGCTTCTATGTTCCATTTAAGTAAGCTGTCATCTAAATAGTTATGGCTATTAAACGTCACATGGCAAAAATCAAATAAAATCCAAACTTACTTGAAATTTCCAGAGACCTCCAATATCATCATTTCTTTCAAAACAGGTGGGCTCCAAATCTTCCTCCAAGCAGCATTTGATGGCACCCAGCCCACTAATTCCAGCTCCAATCACTGCAATCCGCTTCTTGGCCATGGTGCCTCCTCTGGTTGGGAAATTGAGAGCTCTAGTCCACTTAAACACAAATTATATTGTCACAAGCACCTATAGTTCCACGTATTAAATTTTTATTATCTTCATTAGCAGTGAGGAAATATGATAGGTATAAAGAGAAAAATGCATAAAAATTAATTTCTTCCCCCCAAAGTTCTCTGTGTAGTCAAGGAGAAAAATGGAAACATATAATTCCCAGGCTATGTGATAAGAGCAATTAAAACATCCTGCCATGTGAACAGGAACTGGCAGCACAGGGAGGGAATACTTGGCCTGCTGGAGGAAGTGCCACAGGTGAAAAAATTTAAGGGTGAATGAGTAGGCATTATCTTGGTAAAAGACATGGGAGGTGGTGTATGTGTGGCTTTGGGAGGAGGGCATTTCAGACAGTGGAGACAATGGGAGTGGAGGCAGAAGTGAGAGAACGCAGGGTGGCTTACAAGAACCACAGTGCAGTAAGGTAACGGCTGAAATGAATCTGTCCGAAGTATGAAGTTGTGATTGTTTGTGATATTTGTTTCAGTGAAGTGATGAGGTGAAGGCCATCTCACAGTGGTTAACTACACTCCCGAGTCTATAGAAGTAAAGCAAATGTAATATACTATATATTCTCAAAAGATGTATTTATTTATTTTGAATATATTTTCAAAAGATTTATTTATTTATTTTGAAAGTTAGAGTTACATAGAGAGAGAGGGAAAGGGAGAGAGATCCTCCATCTGCTGTATTGGAAGTGGAGCAGCCAGGACGCAAACCATGTCAGCATTGCAAGTGGTGGCTTTACCCAACATGTCACAACTCCAGCCCCTGACTTACTTTCTTTCTTTCTTTCTTTCTTTCTTTCTTTCTTTCTTTCTTTCTTTCTTTCTTTCTTTCTTTCTTTCTTTCTTTCTTTCTTTTTGACAGGCAGAGTTAGACAGAGAGAGAGAGACAGAGAGAAAGGTCTTCCTTTTCCATTGGTTCACCCCCAAACCGCCGCCACAGCTGGTGTGCTTCAGCCCGCGCTGCACCGATCTGAAGCCAGGAGCCAGGTGTTCCTCCTGGTCTCCCATGGGGTGCAGGGCCCAAGCACTTGGGCCATCCTCCACTGCACTCCCGGGCCACAGCAGTGAGCTGGCCTGGAAGAGGGGCAACCGGGACAGAATCCGGCGCCCCGACCGGGACTAGAACCCTGGGTGCCAGCGCCGCAGGTGGAGGATTAGCCTAGTGAGCCGCGGCACCAGCCTTAATAGGTTAATACATGTTTGCTTAAATAACAGAAATTTTTAAAAAATTATATCTTCAGGATTATTATAAAAGTTTCAATATGGAATGTGTGAGCCTTAGGTTGTACATCTATTCACTTATTCATTTATTTGAATTTTATGTGTCCAACCAACACTTATTCCTCAGCTGTGGACCAGGTACTGTGCTTATTGTGGAGGTCACAAAGAACACAGACCTTAACCTCAAAGGCCACATTCTCAATGTGGAAGTAGTTCAGATAAAGACAGCACATTATAACTGCTAAGGTTAAAATGCATGCAAATTGTGTCCTAATCTTGCAAGCCACTTGTAATGACTATGTAGACCTGTCTCCTTTCTTGATGAAAGTGTCATTTGTTGCAAGTGCTGTTTCCATTGCAGAAATGTCTCCCTTTTCTAACCAGGTACCTTTCATATAGACCTTTCCCCGAATTTCTCAGGCATAGTTAATTCCATCCTTGTTGTTGGGCACAAGGTGCCTTGTACAGATCTGTATTATTTCATTCAGGACATGATTTCATTAATCTTAAATCTGTTATTTGGAAGAATCACAAGTACCTAGCAAGATTTGAGACTCATAGCTTATGCCTAATAAATATCTGTGGATTGGGTGAATAAATTAACTTTTAAACTTATCTATATATTTTTACTGAACAACATGGTTGGACAATAAGACAATTGTTGTAATCAGATAATGTTGTAATAATATACAGTTGTAATCAGATAAAGTATATTAATTACTATTCCCACATTTAACCCTCAAAGCAATATATAGTAAGGCAAAGAGACCAACCTTTGGAAAGAAGAAAATCCAAGTTTCATTTTTGCTTCTTAATGAAAGTAAATATGTTTCTCCCTCTGTCTTCTTGGGAACAGTCATTCCACAGCAGTCTGCAGTCTTTTATAGCTTATTTAATTAATGAATAGATAATCCCTTCCCATGACTCTTCCAATTTGGATTTAAAATAGTGCCCTAAGCCTTTTAGGGAAGGGACCATGTCTAATTTGATGGTATTTTACAACTCACCCACTGGTATTGATTTAATACTAACTGGCACCTTGTAAAGGTCATCCAAATGAGGCCCAACAGCTCTGTCACCCTTTGAAATTTGATTTGCCCACACTGACCATGTGGTCCTTCTCAAAGGCCCCTGTGGCATATGGGTAGAATCAAAGAGGGAAACCAAGAGGGAAGAAAAGGAGAGTTAAAGAGAGAGAGGAAGAGACAGAGACAGATTCTCCATCCGCTGGTTTACTCTCTAAATGGCTACAGTTGCTAGGGCTGGGACAGACCAGAGCCAGGAGCCAGGGGCTTTTTTTCATGTTCCCTACATGAGTGCAGGGGCCCAGGCTCTTGGGCCATTTTTACTGCTTTCCCAGGTGCATTAGTAGGGAGTTGGATCAAAAGTTTAACAGCTAGGACTTGAAGCAACACCCACACAGGTTGCTGGCATCACAGGCAGTGGCTTTACCCACTATGCTACAATGCCAGTCCCTCTAATTATTCTTTTCATAGCCCCTTTCTTGTGACTGTTATTCTTTCTTTTGACTGTTAAATAATTCTAAACTCAGTTCATGTATCTTTGATATTATTCAATTGTTTTAAGATTGTTCCATTGTCTTGCATTTGAGATTGTTATATTACTCCAAGTATTTGAAGAACTAATCATTCTATTGACACTGTTTCACCTTGAATAGTTTACACTTACATGGTTTGAAATTTTTTATCTCACCTTCAGTGGAGACTTGTTTCTCTTTGGAAGAAGAGAAACAATAATATAGAACAACTGTATATAGACTTTTGCTGTGCACTCCATTCAGATCCCAGACTCCATTTCACTCACAGGGTTGGGGGTCCTCTAATCACCTAACTCTATGCAGAGACCATACTTTGACATCCCTATATCATGTGGTCCACATGTTTAGTTGGGTTTTCTAATTCTAGCCTATATAGCATGGGGTCTCTTAGCCCAATGTTTCTTTTGACCATTTGATCATGAGTTGGTTGCTCCAGATTTAAGTTTCCCCTTCATTTTTGAACTGAGGAATTTACCTTGTACTGTTACTTTTATGTTTCTTTGCAATGGGAAGAGATGAACAGCTGTCCATGTTAGCACAATGTGTCAGGTTGTTAGACCTAGAAGTCTCTCAACTGTTTTAATCTTTAAATCCTGGAAACTTTTGATGATTTTTATAGAGTCCTCTTTTATTTATGCAATATTAATTAGTGCATACTTAGACATATGTGTAGATATGTATATGTGTGTACATATATTTGTATATGTGTATGTACATGTGAATAAACCTGATTTTATTATAAATTCATCCCCATGAACATAATGTGCACAGGGGTCACTCACCACATGAATACTCATAACATTTTATTTCCTAATTCACTGATCAAGTTTGAACTGCTTTGGCTGGTGTGTGTGAGTCTAGAGCAATTTCTTGGGGATCCCACAAAATTCAGACTCTGGGGAAATGGTATATCTGACATCTCTTTTTTTAAAGAATTGCAGAATTTAAAGTTTGTATGTACCATCAATCAGCTGTTATCACATTTGTGACTGTCCTCCATTATATCCCTTAATAAGGGTCACCCATTCTCTAATCAAAGTTCTGAAGAAATAAGGATAATGTAGCTTCCCATGTCAGCCTGTTCATTTTCAGATAGCTGTGATCCTTGTACCAACATCCATCACTTTGAGCTAAAATCCGTTTGTATAGAACATATGCCCATCAATTTTTGTGTACTAGGGTGACAGAATAAATATATGTCATGTAAATGATGATTCTCAAATGTTTACAAGAGCTGTTATCATCTTCTTTTCCTTGAGAAATATTCCACTAACAGTTTCCTGAATTTCATAATTTGAATACCATTGCTATCCTACTTGTTTTCTTCTTGACTTCTTCTAGTTTGTTAAGGCTCTTCCTAAGATGTTGCAAACAGGGCACAATATTCCATACAGTCGAAGAGAGCATATTGATGACCATGGATGGTAGTTTGAAATGGAGAATCATCTATGGTTTGTTGTGGGGTATGGTTTTATCTTTACTCCATTATCTAATCATAATTTAAATTAGAGATCTTCCAAGAGGGGTCAGTGAAAAAAAAAAAAGGATCAAGAAAAAATATACTTCTGCCATATTTTTGTCTTAAATGTAAGAAATGAGTTAAGCTTTACTGTGTTTAGGGTGTGAGTTGATACTCACAGGTCTTGTGTCAAACGATCTGAGGTAGATGCCATTTGTGGTGACATGGAGGGACAAAGAGGGTTTGGCCAATGCACCCTCCCTCAGTCACTTGCTCTCTATATTGTGTCCTGTGGTGGTTCCTATGGGCTTGGTTACATAGATTCATAGATTACAACATTGCAACTTCACCAAATTTTCCTTTAAAAATGGACATGTGGCTTTAAAATGATTATTACTGGGAGATCCTTGACTGAGGATAATATTAATAATTCTAGCACACATTGACAAGAAAAAATCTGAGCTGCCCCTTCCCTTATTTTTAGTGTGAGGTCTTCATCTACCTCTTTAAGAGATAAAAAAAAATAACAATGACTTCATCAGACTTGTGTGCTCTTGTTTGATCAGTGTGGGGAGGCACTGGAGACCCTACTAGGATCCCCTACCCTTAATAGATGCCTCCTAAAGTCCACCAGCAACTTCCTTTGTTCATTCACAATATTACTTGATCTGTGAATGATGTTTTCTTTTTTTTGTTTGTT